CACACTGGCTGGAGCAGCATGCCCCGCCCACATACACACTGGCTGGAGCAGCATGCCCCGCCCACATACACACTGGCTGGAGCAGCATGCCCCGCCCACTCACTCACTGTGCTCTCCTCCCCAGAGTGTTGCTGCCACCTGGGCCGCCTGGTGAGGAGGAAGCTTGGGGAAGACTGGATCTTCCTGGTACTGCTGGGCTTGCTCATGGCTCTGGTCAGCTGGAGCATGGACTACGTCAGCGCCAAGACCCTGCAGGGTGGGGCAGACTCCCCACTTGTAACCCCGAGCTAAGCTGGGTGGGCTGGGGGACAGGGGCTCTGTCCACACACAAGACCAGAGCCATTCTTCACTCTACTTTCCAGTGCTAATTGCCAGGCTGTGGGTGCACTTGGCAGGGACCAGTGCAGCCTGGTTTGACCAGGACTCTCTAGTTTGGGAAATCCCAGGGTGGTGCCAAAGGTTAAGTGTCAGAGGTTTGAGTCTAGCCAAAGGTACCTTGGAAGAAAGTCCTGGAGATCTGAGAAATCAGCCTGGACAGCCCCATGGAGCCCAGTTCTACTTTGACACATGTGGGCTGTCCCAGGACCTGGGGTGGTTGGTCCTCAGAGGCTCTGAGGACACATCTGCATCACCCCACTTGGGTGGCATTGCGGTGTGCGCCTGAGTTAGGGTGTGAACTCCTCCCTCAGCTCCACAGCTCTGGCCGCACAAGCAAAGCCACACTCCATGGCCCCATTGCACGGGGTCTGAGGGTCAGTGGGGTATGAGAAGGCTCAGCATACCCGGGTGGATGGACGGGCGGGCGGACGGCTGGGTCTCCGCTCACCCGCCCGGGTCTGCAGCCTACAAGTGGACTTACTACCAGATGCAGCCCAGCGTCCCGCTGCAGTTCCTGGCCTGGGTCACCTTCCCGCTCATCCTCATCCTCTTCAGCGCCCTATTCTGCCACCTCATCTCTCCCCAGGCTGTTGGTGAGAAGCTCCCTTGGCTGCCTGCCACTTGTGGGTGTCCCCAGTGTCTGCCCTCACTGCCCCCCTGCCCCTCAGCCCACCCTGACCAGCTCTGACCTGTTCAGGCTCTGGGATCCCTGAGATGAAGACCATCCTCCGCGGAGTCGTCCTGAAGGAGTACCTCACTGTCAAGGCTTTTGTGGCCAAGGTGGTGGCTCTGACCGCTGGACTGGGCAGCGGTATCCCCGTGGGAAAAGAGGTGAGTGGTCCCAGGGGCAGCGGACTGTCCAGGAGCAGGCCCAGCAGCACACAGCACACGGGTCCTTCCTCTGGGGCCAGCAGCACCCAGCCTCACCCACTAGATGGCAGTAGCGACCTCCCAGTTCTGGTCACCAGTCTGCTCCATACATTGCCCTTGCCCCCTTGGGCACTTGGTCAGTGATCCAGCCCAATCCCTGTCCTAAGAAGAGATTGATGAGTCCCCGAAAGACACTTTGGTTCTGGGGCCTCTCCAGCCCCTCAGTAGCTCTTCACGCAGCTGCCACCTTACAGATTCGTTGACGAGTGTCCAGTGGTCTTCTGTCAGCCTTTATGGGAGCAATCAGCCTTGTCTTCTCCCTCAGAGAAGCTGGTGGGTTTGAACCGCCGACCTTGTGGTTAGCAGTCCAATGCTGATCCCACATCTCCACACCAGTACTTAACGGCCCCTCTTCTTGTCATGAAAATCCAAATCTGAGTCTGGTTCCTTACCTGCAGCCCAGGGCTCTCCTCCTGACTTTGCCCTCAGCCCCCTCGTGCTCGGGGAGTCAGGACTGGGATCCCTGCGTTCCGTGTGCAGCTGCAGCATCACCTGGTGTCCTTGCTCTGTCTGTCAGTCATCTTTGAGAAGGACACCAGTCATAGGACTAGGCCTCACCCCCACCCCAGTGTGACCTCATGCTAACCTAACACTAACACCTCCAAAGACCCCATTTCCAACAAGGTTACATTAAAGGTACAGGGTTGAGGACCTCAACATGTGTTTTTAGGGGACACAGTTCAATCCTTCACACCTACTCACGGGGGCCTTCTAGGTCCCTCTCCAAACATACCCTCTCTGGCCCTCCTGACCTGACCACACCCCCGGGGAACTTCTTTTCCTCCTGGGACTAGGCTCCGTGAGGGCAGAGGTCTGACTTGTCCACATCAGTCATTACGGGGTGCTGGTGGTGCTGTGGGCTAAGCACTGGGTTGCTAACCACAAGGTGGGCAGTTCCAATCCACCAGCTGCTCCAAGGGAGGAAGATAAGGCTGTCTGCATTAAGAATTACAGTCTTGGAAACCCAGTATAGGGTCACTATGAGTCAGAATTGACTTGGTGGCAGTGGGTTTGGGTGGAGGGTCTCTCCAGGGCCTGAGTGGAGTGACCGGTGGGGCCAGCACTACCTGGTCTGCATCCTGGACCCTGACACCCTTTCCCCAGGGCCCCTTCGTGCATATCGCCAGCATCTGTGCCGCGGTCCTCAGCAAGTTCATGTCCGTGTTCTGTGGGGTGTATGAGGTAAGGTTGAGCCAGGGGAGTGGGTGGGTCGTGTATGTGCGGGGCTGCCTTGGCTCGGCTCTTGTCATGCTGTGGACGGTTCTGTGCCCAGCACACCCACCTCTGTGTGCTTGTGCCCACAGTGCCCCCACCCACCCAGCTCCCCTCCCCCGTGCCCCCATGCCACCCTGCCCCCTGGTCCCATGCCGCGCCCCTGCCCACCCGCTGCTGCCCGTCATCTGTTGCAGACTGTGCCTGGCCAGCTTGACCTCCTGGTGTCGGCCTGTGCGGTGGGCGTGGGATGCTGCTTTGCGGCTCCGCTTGGAGGCAAGTCTCCCTCCCCCGGACCCGGGACTAGAGTGAGATGGGGGGCTCCTCAAAGGGCCAGGGGTGCAGTCAGGCCTCTGAGCCCCATGGGCACCTGGGCACCGTCTCTGTGTCAAAGGCCACCTCCTGCCCGGTGCGCCTCTCCAGCCCTCTCTGCTTGTCGTGAATTGGCTTCCTGCAGCCCTGTGTTTGCTGACTTACTTCATTCCCCATGTGCACTATTCGGTCATTTCCTGTTTCCAAACTTGCTGGACAGCTCTGGGACCACAGGGGGTGTGAGGACCACCCTGGCTTCCTGGACTTTGGACTCTCATCCTGCCTATCCACCCCCTGCCACCCCTTCCTCTCTCCTCCCCCCTGCCTCTCCCT